ACATTCCACCCACACCCACACCCACCCTCTGCTTCTATTTCCAATAGCTATTGTTAGTGGCTCCACCTTTACAAAATGTTCTACTTTTTCTTTTTGGGTCGAGGTGGGCGTGGATATGAATGCGGGGTGCGGATGTTTGTCTTCTTTTCACCCCCACTCACCACCCCACATCCACATCCACACCTACACTTACATCCACACTCCACACACCCTTGAAAACCTATAGAATATTGAATACTTCATAGAAGCATATGGTTAGTGTGATTTTAGAATAGTTTTCATGCTGTTCAGTTAATGGTAACGCAGGATGATCAAACAAGCAAAGTTCACATTTGAAATATGTGAAGTTGATGAAATTCTCGGCCGCATTCACTTGTATCAGAATACGAATGTTATTGTTTTATTCTTTCGAGCTGATGACAGAACAGCAATCTAAAACATCGGACATAAATTCTTTAAATTATTGTATTATAATGCTACGAAGAAAATAGTCTCATCAGATATTGAGAAACATGACATAACTGATCTTTCATCATTATTGTGTAAATAGCTAACTAGATAATTCATATTCAAAAGAATCTTTTTTTAATTTATTTTATACAGTTATAAGATTACACAAAATTATTCTCGTTATAAACTAACTGAGGTTGGTGTCAGAAATGTTCATGAAGAAGTTCATACTTTAAAATGTCTCGCTTTTTCCCTGCTATAGGTCTTTCATTAGACAAATGGAATAGCGGGTTCTAAATTGAAATTGTTGCTTTCGAAAATATTGTTCGCTTCGTTTTCAGTGATGAAGTGAACCAAAATTCCATATGGACGAACACACGTTGGATCGTTGACAGTATAATGCTGGTTTTCGGAACATTCAGGCACTCGGATTTTTTTCGGGTGAATTCGGCATTGTAAAAATACATCTACATAGTAATATTTATTGCACAGAATCGGCTTCATCAAAAGGCAGTTTTCGACATTGTCTGTCAGATGTTTGATTTTTGGTGTTAAAAATACACCTTTGCCGCATGTTTTCTGATTAAAAAAAGCATGCATTAGGACCAACATCTGTTGACGTCGTACTCCATTCACTGTTTTTGCCTTGAAAAACCTTGAGACCATCAAAAGCTATGGATTTCATTGCTTGCAGTACATCTCGACGAACTCCATGGAATCCAACAGCCCATTCATCAACGGCACCATCGCAAGCAAGCCATTTCGACCCACTAGAACCAAATTTATCAACATTCAAACCGTAACGTATCTAAGCGTTGAACGGAGTATAATAGTCCCAATTACCACACTTTAACTTCAGTGGTTCTTCATTACAATATCGAAGATCGCCTTTCTTATCGAACATATAAGATGGGAGTCCAAAAAAGATTGCTGGATCAAACCTTTGGATAACACGATCGAGATCGCTTTCGTTCCAAAAATTAGATGCCGATCTAAAAATAATATCATCATATCAAAATGCCAAACGTTCTCTATTCATCGTGCAACTCTGAAAAATCTACTGGCAGAAAAATAAGCTTGCTTTTTTACGAAGGCTTTCTATACTACTTATAGTATTAGTATTATGTTCAGAAAATCTCCAGTAAACTTCATAAATTGTCGTTTTTATTTTAGCTAATTTTCATACAGTCTTGCATTTTGCGAATATCAGAGCAAAATTTTCTATATGCACGAAACTCGAAATACATTTGTAGTTTTCAGTAGTTAAATAACTTAAAACTCTTAGTGTTAAGATAAATGATACAGTATCAAAATTATTCTGAAGAATATTTAAATACACCTATCCTTAATCAATAAAAAAGTGCGAGGGTGATACCAAAAACTCCGCAAGTTTTTTTTGTATGATAGTCAATGAATCAGCTTATTCCAAAAAAAATTCGATAGCTGATAGTAATGATTTCGTTAACTTTACTTTGGCGAGGAGAAAAAAAAATACCAATACATACCTTGTTGCATGATGATGTCCAGACGTTATGGATTGTAGCAGTTACATTGGACGTGATTTAATTGATTATTGCTTTAAAATTCATGAGACTTTATAGAGGACTATTTGCCATGCTTCATATTTGAAGAAACCCAACCATAATGACACTGTTAATTGCCTGACTCAATGGCAACCGGAGTGTGGAAAGAGAATCAAACAAGTAGAAAGAAAAAAGCTGAAGAAACAAGCAAAAAAAAACACTCACTTATAATTCAATAACATCGCTTGGTCTCTTTCTTCAGCGAAATTCTATTAGCTATGAATGCATCACTTAAGCGATTTTTATTAAATACCTCACATGTTCTGATGTTACCATCTGATATTTACCTCATATTTACTGCTTTTCATCTATGGTATGCATTGCTATCGTAGTTTTTCAAGCCTTCTTGTTTGGCTTAGTGAAATTCTTCAAACGAATTTTTTCTACTCTGCAAATCGTATTTCATAATGCAACCGTCTTCACCAATTAATGGCTTGATAGAAAGAAAGTTTGCTTTTCAATTGCTATTTATTTTAGTGGACACTGATTTGCAGCTTTCAAGTGATGAGTTTTTTAAGAAAATAATTACACTCATACTCAAATGATGCCGTACACAACGTATAAGGTTTCAAGATATCTTACTAAACCTAGTTAGGCATCGCATTAATTAACGAGTCCATGTCATCAAAATCGCGGAAAAATCTGTGATATTATCGTGATTGCTGAGAGACAGGGCGAGCTCTTATATTGTACTGCAATGAAAGTGAAAAACACCTTCACATCGGTTCAATCTAACGGATTACTTAATTGGTAAGCATTAAAGATTCATCCAAAGATTTTTCATATAGATCATATATGCGAATATTACAGTAAAGCATTGACTTACGCATCACGAAAGAAATTCTAACTGTCATCAAGTCAAAAAGGGGTGGGTATGGAGTGTCGGTGTGGGCATATCCAAAACGAATTCCTTCATGCACATTTACATCCACACCTATACCCACAACCACACCCACACCCACACCCTCAGTAGAGAAAAGTTTGTTGCACTTAAATAGATTTCTTCATACGAAAAAAGACTTGACTCCTCTGTCACATTGAGATTTCGATAATCTACTTTGTTTCCACAGCTACAATAAGCATAAATACTATAAGTGAAATTATTATGCTTGTACATAAAAAGTAATACTTCGTACTTATCTTCGTACTTCTAAAAGCAGATTCTTGCTTTTGTACTAACCAGGGAAGGTTCCCAAGTGATCCAGCGCTTGTAAGTCGAGACTATGTGCATCATGTAGGCTCTAATGAGATATGAACATCCTGAAAGAGTTCGGGCTGATAGCTTATTGCTGCCAAGATACTGCATTTTTACGGTATTTTTAAGCAGTGTCGTAATCCCCCTCAGGAACATCAAAAAGACTGAATTTCGAATTTCGGCTTGAAACTTTGTATTATGATAAGCCTTAACGAGAATAGTTTATTGTCAAAGTTTCAGGTCTCTCGCTTGTTCCTATTCTGAAATAAAAATTGCGGAATCCGCATCTGTCTATGAACGATGCGCTAGCATGCTTTTACCATAACGGTATTTTAGGATAGGAACAAGCAAGAGGCCTGAAACTTTGACAATAAACTATTCTCGTTAAGGTCTATCATTATAAAGTTTCAAATCGAAATTCGAAATTCAGTCTTTCTGATGTTTCTGAGGGGGACCACGACACTCTGCTTAAAAATACCGTAAAAATGCAGTATCTCGACAGCAATAAACTATCAGCCCGAACTCTTTTCAAGATATTCATATTTCATTAGGGTCTACGTGGTGCACATAGTCCCGACTTAAAAGCGATGGATCACTTGGGGACCTTCCCTACTAAGTACAAAGCAAGCTACTATATAATTATAAGTAACTTTGCTTGTCCTAAAGACAAAATAAATTTCAATGGTACGGTTGGCTAGTTCTGAAAAATTATTCAAGGCCATGTTACCCATAATAAAATTATTCGCAGAAATCTATTAAGTTACAACGTTGTTTCTCAGTTCGCATGTGCCTTTTGTGCAACACGATCTAAAAGGAGTGTTGAAGTATATAAGGTAGAAAATTGGACCCACTCGTCCCCACCCCCTCCCTTCGTCACCGACAGGGTCAAAAGGCGTCACATACCGTTACAGATTGATTAAATAATTAATTCAATGACGAACTAATCAACCAATAAATTAAAATGCATTTACACGCCCAAATTTTTATTATTCTTTTCGCGAAAAACCAACTGGCCGTTTTTTTTCATCAAACATTTTGATGCCGCAAATCTGTACAAAGGAAAAAAACTATATACCGAACTCGGAACTGTTATGTCCTTCATCTAGTTCAGATGTGGTCATAAGATATCTCCCTATCATCATACGTTTCTCTTTATTCTCGTTTACTTATGTGTTCGATTCTTTTTCTTTCCTTTTCTGTTCTGTCATATATATGATGGATTTGTCCTTTCCTTCTTCTCTTCTGTTGTTCTATGGATTTTTCCCTTTTCTTGTGATGCTATATATAGCTGTTTACTCGAAGTAACAAGGGGGATTTTTAGAAAGAGACAAGGAAAATAAACTAGAAGCGGGATTAGGATCTCACAGGAGCACTTTTTTTATAATCAAATTTGTATAAAAAGTGACATCCTTGTATTAATAGTTTGATCAGATGACATGAAATTTTCAATACCAATTAAAACTTTTTAATGAATTTTAATCTATTAGAAATTTGAGCTCAATCCGAAAGTCAAACATCAGTAAATATGCCAAATTTTAAATAGGTCATCTATAGAATCATTAAAAAACTTCGTATATCCGTTTAATATTCTTTTAAATAAAATTAAAAAAAAATTTAAATCATTTTAATTGTTAAACGTAATTTATTCAAAAATGTAAACATTTTCAGTGATTGATTATGAACTCAATAAAAATACTTAATGCGAGTAAAAAATTAAAAAATTAAGCGAGAATAGATGAAAAATGAGTGGGATATAATAGAAATAAAATGATTCAATGAAGAGAGAGACTTATATTAAGACGATGATTTTCTTCATCAAATTGATATTTTAGTTGTTTGACGTTTATTATTTCTGGTAATACAATTTCTTGATAAATATTAAAATCTTGTTCATCTTTTGTTTCTACACTTAAATTATGTTGATCTAGATTTATTTTGAGTTGATCTTCATTTATAATATGCGGTTTATTGTTGAAATCAAGAGATAATATTAGTAAATGACGATCATCTGATAAAATTGGATTCCAAATTTTGTTTAAGATAAAGTCTTTTAAAGCGACTCTTTGTTTCTCTTTTAAATACTGTTTATTTGTCAATTCTAAATCATGTTTTGACTGACGATAATCAGGAAGATTACTAGAAGCTGTTTGAGGATCTTCTTTCCTAAAAATAAGCTTTTGATCATCATCAAAAAATTCAGGTGAAACTTTAATTATCATTTCCATCATATCTAAAATTTAGAAAAAAAATTGTTTTTTTGTTTCAATATAAAATTAAAAAATTTTGAAATATACTTTTTAATTGAAGATAATCTCGTTTAGTAAATGTATTATCCGTGATATGATGTGCTGCTCCTTTGAAATAATCAGTGTTGTTTATAATAAATATTTTTTCTTTATGAATAATTATTGTTTTTCCTCTTTGCATATATTCTTTTCGAAGTTTTAAATGAATATTCATTGATTCTGTACATTTATTTAAATTTTCAATCTTGTAAAGATCTTCAAAATACTCTAATGATTTTTCGTTTTCATTTGAATCGATCCTTTCAATTATAACACTTTTTCCAGCATTCAAGATTTCAGCAGGAAATTCAATAATTATTTCAAACAGTTCTATATAAAAATAAAAATTCAATTATGTGCAGGCAAATATTAATTAAGAAGATAATTTTAATCAATCATTGTTCTTCACTATCAATTATACTAAATATATAAATATTATGTATCAACATACTATCATAAGATTAGTCTCACATGTCGATCAATCCAGCACATAAGTTTTTATTTATATAATGGCGGTGCCATTATTTCATCAATATTTCCTTCAGTTTTCATTATTTTCATTTGAGCTAATTTTCAAAAAAATTTCCATTCAATTCTATATTTAAAAAAATATAGTACAAAGACGTTTGATGTCAGGCTTACAAAAAATAAATGTTCAATAGAATACTGTAAAGCCTCAATGTTCAACTTTTTAAAGATTTTTCCTGAAACAACTCGAATAGTTTCCTAAGATTGTAATAACAAGAATCACTAAGACCATTTTTGAACCGCAACTGAAAGACAGAGCTTTTCGATGCATACAAAATGACTAATTTTATTTCTTCGTTCCTCAAAATGCTATCGAATAAAACAAAAATACACTATTTGTTCCTAGAAAGTGGCACATATCAGAACTTCAAATTCTTATTTGATCACTTTATCTAACTTAGAATTAAGTTTAAACACCATTGTATATTTTTACAGAGAGTTGAAAGGAAGAATATTTTGAAAATTAGTTCAAATGAAAGAGATTTTGATGAAATACTGACACTACTATATTGCGTTATTAGTATTTTAAAATTTTCTCCTGTATTTTACAGCTGATCGAGACATCTTTTTTATCGAAAGATAGGGACTTAAAGTTATGTACAAAACCATCTATGGTTGGGAACAAAAGTTGTTTTACACATACTTGAAAAAAGATGAAAAGTATTGACATCCCAACAGATGTAATAAACTCAATATGGAAAATAGTGATGGGCCAACAAAACTTTATCATGATTTATGTGGAGCAGCTTCAAAGCGAACAATTAACATGTAGATAAAAATTTATTGACAGTATTGGCTCTATCAATTTTTGTAAATCTACTTGTTATCCATTCATTGTTCGAAAAAAAGTCTGTATCATAATGGTAAAATGGTGGGTAGCTCAGAGGAAATACGTGGCGATAAGAAAACTGCCTTTTTAAAATAAAGCGCCTATTGCTGTTATTGAATGAAGATCTTATCTATTTCCGATAGCAGAAGGTCAAAGAGTCAACCGTGACTGATCTACAAAACAAAAGAAAACCAAACTAATTTTACAGACTGGATGTTAGCACAATCTTTTTAAGGTTGAGAAACGTTATCTCAGTGGAAAATGGTGTACAGGCCATTTTCGGGCATTCATACATAAAAACCATTCAACACTGAATCTGTCTGATTTATGTCAATTAGATTACAATTATTGAAATGATAGACGAAATAAAATGTTACGTAAAAAACATTGACTAAGAAAGTATTTTACATTGTATATCTGATTTTACTTTACAATTTTGTTTCGTCCCTAAAAATTGAGTCAATAATATTCGTTAAATAAATTACATCACTTTGTGCAGGATTTCAAGCACTATCTTTGCATAGAAAAGATGTCTCGACCAGATGTAAAATACAAGAAAAATTTTGAATAGACTAGCAGCGCAATTATTTATGTATCACCCGTTATATGTATAATACAGTGGTTCCAAACTTGGTTCGACCTGCTTTATTTTCAATATTTTCTCTACCTTAAACGTTAAAAAGAATCTGACAAGTGATTAACTCTTTTTTCTAATTGATTAGTTGATTATATGAATATATATTTCGTGGATATTGATTTTCTCTTATATTCTAATACATATTTATCTTTGATTGAAATAAGCAATGTCATTGTATCGTACTCTAAATCGAAAGGGCCATTGGATATGATCGTAAATTAGGTATTTTGATCTTGTTCTCATGTTAATCCTTAGTCAATGTTAAACTTTTGATATTTCACTTCTTTTTTCTTTCTGTAATTTTCATTTACATTCTTTGCATTGTTATATTGAAATAAATATCATCATTTATAATAAAATCTAAAAACAATATCTCGAAATCTAGATCTTAGAAGTTGCTGATGCAAAAATGCCAGAAGTTAAATGTTCAATAAGAAGCCATTAACTATGAGAAAATGTCTCTAGAGATATTTAATCGTTTGTGCAACGATTGTTTTTTCCACAATTTTTCAAAAGAAGTTAAATCATGTAAATAGAAAGAGCAAAATATGAACTTCATTTTGATAATTAAAACTTTCTAAAAACAAAATGTTCTATGAAGTGAAATACCTATTTTATGACAGACAAGTCACAATGTTCATAAAACGCTTGATCACTTGTATATAGAAAGTCAAGTTTCTCTCCAAACATCATATTCGAAAAGCGTTTCACGCAGCAATTTTTTTTCGAAAATGTCCTCTCAAAAACGAAAAAGTGTTTTCTGAAAATTTCAAATCAACTTCTGTATTATGCAGCGTAAGATGTTCGTTCAATTATGATGCTTGGAAAGAACAATAGCTTTCTATATAATGATGACAAAGAGTTCCCATGAACATTGTCAGAGTTGATAAGGAATTTAAATTTCCAGCAAAATTGAAAAAAAAAACCAATCATTAGCAATTACATATTCATAGAAGTATAAGACGATCTAGTAGTGATCTTCAAAATCACTTTTCTCGGTCCCCATTAAATTTATTGTGGTCTCGGCCCCGCTTCAGATCACAATTTTTAATCGATTTCAGTTCTGTTTAAAGTTTGGTTACCTTTTATTCTCGTTTTTTTTTCTAAAAAAAAAGACATTGTTTGCAATATTAAGCCTAAAATTTTAGATTTATTTTCGCATTTACAAATAGCAATAAATTTGTTTTCTGAAATATAGAGAACTACCATAGAAGCTCTTTTAAGAGTTCGTACTAGAAATATGAAAAAACGACAAAAACAATACAATTAAAAGAATGGTTGCATTAGTATCGAACTAAATTTATGTATATTATACCGACTGGAGTATTTAGAAACCTATTTAAATCATCAAAAAATTTCGATTCTTGAAATCTGAATTAGAATCAGTGAAAGAATTTGATCGAAATCGAAAATAAAAATGGCTGATTTGTAGCTTCTCAGTCACAACAAAATAATAAGCATGAAAAGGTATAGTATCTTTTGTGATAAAAAAAATGCGCCGAGATAAGCTTCAGAAAATATAAGTTCCAGTTCCGACAGGATTAGGAGCACTTTACAGATCTCTGTTATGCAGTTATGGCAGCAGATGATGAATGTTTAAACACACTGCAAACAATAGACGAGTTTGGATCCTACGCATTCTCGACGTCGCGTCACAGAAATAAAAGATCAATTACGTGAGTAGAAGTGTTTTGGGCTAATGAATGCTTGAATGTGAATTATCTATCTATAGAAGCGTAATAAGAACTTTTTAGCATTCAATTGTGTCTGTAGGGTTTAGCTGCCACTAGATGTCTATATCTCTATTTTGCCACAAATTCGTACTTTCCAACATATTAAACATTGTCCAACAAAAGTTGACTATTTCAGATTGTTATAAGTCCGCTTCTACAAAGAGTCAACATTTAGAGATGAAGTTTTCTATGAACATAGTCTAAATAGTATCTGCACTTTTCACGTAAACCGCATCTCAAAAATCAACTTGATGAAAAAGTTAGACTTAAAACAAAATCGTCCAAAATATTTGTCGATTATAGTATTATATATGAACTATTTTGTAAATGTGATATCTATTTCAGTATAAAATATATATTCTTTATTATTGTATTTTTAAATCATCTGTATCTTTATTTGTCTTATCTTGTTTCTTAAGCGGTTTATTTTTATCAAAATACGTAGATATTTGTTGGCAAATTAGTATAATCTTTAATCATAGATATAGATAATAAAAACGAAAATACTTACGATCAAGATCATTAGTCGAATCTAAATGATGATTTGATGGATCTAATAGAGAATCTTGTTGTTGATTATCAATAAGACATAAACCATGATTTTGTTTAATAAAATGTAAAGGTTGTGATATATGACGACCATTTACAAATATTTCAGTATGTTGTTCAATTGATAAAATGTTTCCATTTTTGATTAAATCTCGAGGAATCTCGATGATCTTATTTGTGGATGATGAATCTAAACAAAAAAATAAATCTAAATATGATATATCTAACAATCTCATAGAAATGTACTTTGACTTAAAGATGACATTGCATTTGTTAATAATAAGAATTTTTGATTCTCTCATAACTATTTATAAGAATAGTTAATAAGAAACATGAGAGGCGTTTTTGTGGAATAACATTACATATTTACGCCGTTTTCTCTTGATGTTTGTTTACATAGTTCCCGAAATATGATGATATGCATTTGTGTAAATAAAGAATTTATTTTTCAAATGAAATCAACAACGATTGAAATATTATTCAGATTAAATTTTTATTCGATTAATGTTGACATGTGTTATACTTCTATTAAATAAATCTACATATTAATTATATTTTAACTAAATTAAGATAAAATTATTATAATCATTGCATTTTTTCAATTTATACAGTTTATTAGCATTTTTACGATTTAATATTAGAAAAAAAACTAAAAAAAAAATTTTATTAGTTTTTCTTAGGAAAAAAATTCTGTTTGAAATAAAGAAGAATATTTTTTTGTAAATCTAAAAAAATAAACGAGGAATATTTTCTTATGCATTCCTTAAGCAAGTAATTATTTACAAAACACACCAGAACGTCAGGGATTCATTATCACAATCATGAATCAGCCTCGTCAATCAGCATTTTCTTCCTTTTTTATCGCTTATTAGTAATAGTATAACGAATTTCCTTTAGTAAAATAACTCAACAGCTTATATATATAGACTAGGATATCCAAATAAACAGATATTAGACCTGTTCTACTAACAGATACCGTGATCAACTTGAAGACGATAAGCGAATAATCATTACTGTCATTATTAATAGAAGAAAAACTGGTCTAATTGATGGAATCCTGTTGAAATCTATCTATCATGAGAAAGATAAAAAAAAATGTTCTAACGCCCTCTTACATTTATTTATGTTTGACCTATAACAACTGATATGTGATCATTTATTAACAGCGCAATTAGCTTTTTAAGTGATTCTTCATGCTAAAGAGAAATGAGATTATTAGCTAGGAAATTGAAAATAACCCATGTCATCAAAATCACGTTACTTTTGGCGATTAATTGGTGATTTTTCGGATATCACAATAAATTAGGATTAGTCGGCGATTCTGCAACAAGTACTAATTTACAAAAATAAATGTTTGTTTTTTTCGTTTATTTAAATCGTCTGAATATCTTAATGAACGGTAAGCATAAATTTATAAAAATATTCTTTTTGTCTTTTTTTTAGTTTATTACAACATCACAATAAACGGAAAGTATTATTCAATAAAAATAATTTTGTGTTCCTTTATTGAAGTCATGTGATCATCATAATGAACGGGTAAGTGTCATCGAATAAAAATATGTTCTTTTCTTTTATTTAGACCGTTCGATCATCTCAATGAAGCATGAGTATTATTTTATCCAATTTTTTTCTCATTTAAATTGCCTGAACACCTCAATTCATAGTAAGTATTATGTTATAAAAATTACTATTTTGTTTTATTTAGATCGTCTGATCATCTTAATAAACAGTAAGTATTGATTCATAAAAATATATAGTGTTTTTCTTTTATGTAGATCATCTCAACATTTCAATAAATGATAAGTATTATTCAATAAAATTATTTTTTATTGAGGTCATCTGATCATCACAATGAACATGTAAGTATCATTGTATACGCATACATTCGGTTTTATTTAGATCGTCCGATGGTCTCAATGAATAATAGGTATTATTTTATTTTATTTACTGCGAATGGGAAGAACGATATTGTCTCATTCGCGAGTAGGAATGTCGACCTAGCATGAGCATTAGACTAATGCTAAGAGCAACACTTGTTACAATTCTAAGAGAAAAATATTGCAATTTTTATTAATTAATGTAATGCTAAAGCGAAGCCGTATCCCTGAGTAATTTCGATACTCTATTATGACATTTTTAATACAGAAGCATTGTAGCTACTGTTAAATTGATGCAGTATTGCATTGATTCAATAGTAGTTGCAATACTTTTGAAATAAAACTGGAACATAAAAGAATTGAAATTAGTCAGGGATACTTCTTCGCTTTAGCATGACAGCAATCAATACAAATTTCAATACTTTTCTCTTATGATCGTAACTCAAAGGTATTGCTGTTAGTATTAATTTAATGATGATGCTAAGCCGACACTCCGATTCGCGAGAAACACGTATGAGTACGATGGTAAGCGACAATGGTATATAGGCCGAGACCTAGTCATAGTCGTAGGTCTAAATGCTATAACCAGGTTCGATCATTGGAAATATGATTTGAATAATCGCGCTTTCATTTAAGAATGGCAAAGAAAATCGAGAAAAATCGCGATTTTTCACGAAAATCGGCAAAAATCACCAGTCTAGACGATTAATCGGGCTAATAAATCGCAATAAAATCCACGATTTTTGCGCGATTTTGACGGCATGGGAATAATTCGTCTTATTTAATGTTTAATTAAACAAATAATATGAATGATGTCCATAGCTTACGGTTAGGAGGGGGAAGCAGGGTGATTTCCCCTCCTAAATTTTTTCTTACATTCTGCCTTTCTCCCAGGAAATTTTCTGTTATGAAGAGCTAATGGTTTTTTATCTTTCGGTGGATCAGATTGGCTATGCACAAGCGAAGTTCTGTTTCCAATTTTTTAAAGAGAACAAGCTATTTTCTCTCAAAGAGAAACCGAATCAAGTCGACCTGATTCCGTTTTTCTTTCAGTTTTATTTATTTTCTCTTTGATCAAAGGGAAAATAAATAAAACTCAAACAGAAACTGAAACAGACCAAAGAGAAAAAACTAGGCTGCCACTCCAGCAAAGCTCGAATAGACAAGGCGACTCACTGCACGAGCCCGAAAAATGCCAGAGCACGACTGTATACGATATCTGCTATTTCAAAATGTTAGACTCGGATAGAGGAAATCATTATGAATTTAAGTCTCTTTCTGATATCTTCACTGAACTGACAAGTGAGAGATAATGAATCTGAATCTGCTATTGCTATATAAAGAAAATTGCAGCTGTCAGGTCATACGATTAGGGAGTGGAAGATGGGGATTTTCTCTCACCTAATTCTTTTCTTGTGTTCTGCCTTTCTTTCGGGAAATTTTTGTTAGCTGCTATTTAGCGGGTTTTTCGGTATTTTCAATAGAGGAAATACACCAAAACCGTGCAAAAGAGAAAGCTTTCTGCCTAGTTTTCAAAGAGAAACAACTATTTTCTTCTAAAGAGAAACTTTATTTCAAGATTTCAAAGAAAAGCAGCTGTTTTTGAGAAACATAATGCGTTCTCTTTAGGGCTTCAAGGAGAATCAGGTACTTTCTCCCAAATAGAAAGCTTTCTTTAAGTTTCGGCTACTTCCTCCCCCTCCTGAATAAAACCAAACGAAAGCTCTGATGATGTCTGATACCAACAACTAACTCTTATTTATTTGTCTATTTAGTTCAAGATAAAGTTCGATAAAGAACTGTTTAAATTGTACACTATCATTTATAGAATTCGACAAATCTAAATTAAATAATGTCTCATTATTTGAAAATGATATAGAAATATTTTATATAGAATTTCGAGAACTTGACTATGTCAAAAATTATTTTTCATATTGAAGAATCAGATTTGTTAATTAAGTTATCTTTTTCAATTACAATTAAATATTTAAAAATATTCACGATTTATCAAAGATAAACGAGCAGAAAAAAAAACATTTGCTAGTCAAAATCTTAAGAGAGGATTCATGAAATCATCATCCACAGCAATAAGGACCAGTTGCCGAAAAATTTTAGTTTTTGAAATGAGTTTGCTAGTTTCAAAGAGCATAAAAAGTTATTCAGAAACCCAAATTTTTACAACTTTTGGACAATCTCTTCTAGTACCTCCGCCACCTAATAGTTTTCATCCAAAATATCTGTTTGTCAAAAACAATAATTTTTCGGTCATTTTTATTTACGAATTTTTTCCGCACAAAAATTTGACCGAATCCATTTCAAATTATACCAAACGATAGAGTGGAAGGGTGTGAGTGGGTAGGTCTGTGGCTGTGGGTGTTGACGAAGATAGAACATCCACACCCACACCGCACATTGGCTTTGTGATTTCAAACAAAACATTAATAATTTCAACTAACTCTATATTTTGTTGCAGAGAAATGAGTTCTGACAATTTTTACGTCAATGTTGTACTGTATATCATTTATTTCGAGTATCTTTTGCTCTTGAATAGCTGAGAAAAAAAATTTTTGCTTGATATTGTCACATCAGAGGATCGCCAAAATACATCGTCTTTTTCACAGAAAGTTTTTAATTATTTGATAGTGATCTTTTAATTTTAATGTACGAAGAAATTGAGTTGATAAAATCATTTTTTGAGACAACTGCTCGATTTATACAACCAGAAAAATATAAAAATGAATAATGATGTAGACTTAAAAATGATAAGCATTTATTTACTTTGAGTTTTTGAATCAAGTCTTACAGTTGACACAATAAATGAAGAGATGATATTATTATTTATAATATTTTGGATGTTATCTCATATCTAGATATGAGCTGATATGTATATCTTCACATTGTAATACTTAATTAATGTACAGAAAATCAACGAAAAGCATCGGGTTGATATCTTTATTGGAAGAAATTAAATTATTAGTTTTTCTGCGATGCTTTTAACAGGACATAAAAATATAATCTTTTTCTACGCTGAAATTTACAACAAGGCAATCAAAACATAATCTCATTGGACTTCTTGTGGTATTCTTTAAAAAAACTTTGCTCTTTTAGCAGCAACTTGGAATGAAATCCTCAATCGAAGTTTACAGACATGATTTATTACTGTCGTGTGAAGATTGAATAAAGCAGTTCAATTACTTACATATTCATTTTCACTTGTGAAAGAGTTTTATTTCGAAAATTTCTTTCGTTCTTCACCGTACTGTGTAAAACTTTGTCAACAATGATTACAGTTGTTTGAGTCATCTGTTGATACTGTACAATTGCCACGTGTTTCTTTCTTTTCACTATCGCTTCTAATTTCATTTTTCAAAACACTCACATTCAAGTA